TTCTTTCATTTAATTGTATTTCTGTAACTCTGAGTACCCTTGTTTTGGCACACTACTGCTAGTTTTGTGAAATGCCAGATCTTGTTTTCTGAAACTACCGTAGGTGGAGATCCAGGCCCTTCTGCCTGTGTTAGGTCCCTGAATACTACCCGTACTGGAGCCTTTTTTTTTTTCCTGTGGCCTCTTGGATTTGATCTGCTTTCTTCGGGCTCCTAGCAGTCAGTTATTTTCCACTTAGGATGTTGTCCTTTCATCCTCATTGCTGAATGAGAAGCAGTTTCAGAGCTGCCATCCATACATCTAACTTCTCTCCAGTCTTAAATCAAGCGCCCTCAGGATTTTTGTACTAGACATTACAGGGTAAGAGATTAGGTAAAAATAAACCAAAAGGAAATTTGAAGTTACGTTTTTATGCAAAACCGTTATCCATTGAAGTATTAATATTGAATTAAAAAGCAACCTTAGGGATTACATAAATATATATATTTAGAAACTGAGGCCAACAAAGATTAAGTGATTTGCTGAGGAGCTGAGAACAGAGCCCAGTGTTTTTAATATTAGTCCAGTGTTTTTAATATTGTTTTGGAGCTATCTTCTTTCTGTAATTACTCCCCTGACTTAGGAGTTAGCCATAACTAACCCCTTTGTCTGTTTTATCTTCCGTTATTTCTGAAATTGTTCATATTTGATTCTTCAGAACCATGCCCAAACAGGAGTCCCCCTTTCCCAGCACTAAACCTGGAAATAGGCAGTGGGTAGGTCTAGCTGCTGATAGTGGGTAAGCTGGCCTGGAAGAAAGTGCTCAAGTGACCTCTTTCTGTGAGGAAACTTTTCTGATGTAGACTTTTCTACATCATCTTACTTAGTAGAGACAGTAATTAATACAGTCTACATGAGCAGTTCCCAGCCAAATGTTTTTCAAGACCAGTCAGCTTGATTTTAATATCTAAAGACGTCAACCAGGTGTGTAAAAATAAAACAAGTGCATGTATAATAGTTAAGGAACACAAAATATCACAGTCATATATTGTGTGGCAAAAATGTTCAAAAGATTTCTGTGTACAACTGTTGTGAGTTTTATAGCTGAGCAAACTTTTTCCCAATATTGGAAATTGTATACCAGTCATATTTCTACTGTGGCAATGTTATATAACAAACAGCCCCAAAATTTGTGGTTTACATCAACACATATTCTTTGCGCATCGTGTGAGGTGGCTCCATTTCAGGCTATATAAACTGGGTTCACATCT